GCACATGTTTAAAACCTGCCAAAGTCAATATGCTAGTTTTCCTGGCAAAAAACCTGGAATAAAATAGCGTTGACAGTCAAGCACATATGGTATGGCATTGTGCCAAAACAGGTTTACGTGTTTACATAATGTTTACATAATGTTTACATGTTAATATAAATTATTTTATTTATGTGGATGTTGACAATATGTTAGTGTTTTCACTACATACCAATTTATTTAAGGCCTGTACACTTTGTTTAATAGTATTTTCTTATTTAATTTTTGTTTAATATTTTTTTTATATAAAAAAAACAGGCAAGGCAAGGAAATATTTTGTTTAAAAGATGCTCTTGTTTTAAGACACTCTTGATGAGTGTATGGTTACATGTAAATAAGAAGTAATCTTTGAAAGCAATTCATATTGTGTTGGCAGGTCTATGGTAACAGCAAACCAGAAATCAGAATATCTGCTGAGGGTTTTAAGTCATTCATAGTGTTTTAAAGTCTAAATAATTGCAACTTCCTTGACATATTATTTCTTTTTATCCTGAATTAGATTTAATTAGATCAGATGAATATATATTACCTGTTTATTTTAGTATGATCATTACATATATGATTTTTAAAAAATAGCTAATAATAATAATAATAATAATAATAATAATAATTTAAAAAGCATTTCTCTAGGGAAATGTTATATCGCAAGAAATATCATTATCGCAATATTCAACAACAATATCGCATATCGCATATTCCCAATATCGTGCAGCCCTAATGTAAACATTGAAATAAGACAAATTATGAGGTAATGGTCTTATTTGTCCTGGATGTGTAGCAGCTGTGCAACAGAGTGAGGTCCCCTTCTAGGGATGGGCAGTATTTCTGATACATGTATTTAAAATATGTATTTGATTTACTTCATAAAAATAATTAGTAATTTGTATCAAAATACTTGCTCAGTATTTTTATATTTGCAAGAAATACTTTCCCCATGAGGCATGTGTAGTCACATCATGTGTGCATACACAAGGATGAAGTGTGGTTTTTTTAGGCATTTTAATGAAAGCTCCTTACAGCTAATAGATCATCACTTGTGTTGAACCAAAAGCCTTACAAGTTCAGGCCTATTTGTGTTCAGTTCCTACTGAAGTGCTTAAATTGTGGTTGAAAGTCTGTCAATTAAATTACAAAAAAAGCAAATCTAAGTTTGTTATAATTACTTTTTCATTAGACTGACTCACCACTATCTGAGTGTTCGGGTGTGTTCACACTAACGAAGCCAAAACATGCAATGAAAATCGCAATGCGTTTTAAAATTTTTTCGTGTGCGTTTTTATGCATTCTTGTGTCTTTATACGTTTTTAATGTTGCATTGTATTAGCCATTTCAATGATTGTATATGATTGTTCCTAGTGTTTGTGGGGGAAAGAGGGAGTAAAAAAATGCATACAAACACTGCAATGCATTTGTATCCATTTTTCATTGTTATCAAGAGGAGTGTGCAGCGCAGAGAATGTGTACAGCAGTGCGTTTTCAAAATGCACTGCTTTACAGCGCACTAGTGGGAACATCATACATTGCTTTCTATACGGTGTTCTAGCGAATCGCACAACGCTCACGTTGATGAGAAATCGCAAGGCAACGGGTACAGTGAGAAAGAGCCCTTCACGTGAGTAGCTGGGATATATTTGAGACACTTCAGAATATTTAATCCTTTGTTTGGGTTCACATTTGTAATGTGTCTCATTAAGGAATGAAAAACCGTTGCTCTTACGCTTGACCACTTCAATCAGGCTGCTTGTGAAGGAGCAATCTGGTATAGAAGTATGAAATACAAAACACTGTAGTTTATTTTGAAACTTTGCGTGGTGGCTGTATTTTGTAGTTTATTTTGATACAATTACAAATAGGGTATTTTGTGTCAGGGATCCGGGTGGCTTGGGCATGGGAGCGGGGCATCAGGCAGGCACAAAAAAGGGCGGACGACCCACTTGCGGCAAACTAACAGGGTTTATTAAATAAAACAGAAAACACTACAAACACAAAACCAAAAGGACCACGGGGGGTCAAACACTAAAGGGAATAAACTAAGACTAAATCACAAAACCGAATACACATCAAACACAGGGGCTGACCCTGACAATTTTGTGTTTTTTATCAGAATACATTTTGATATATTTTTTCCCATCTCTGCTCCTCTTTTTTCATACCTAGCTAAATTGCAACATAAAAATTCATGCAATCATTATATGGCATTTTCACTAAACTATGGTAAAAGTTTCAAGTTTCATAAGTGTAACAAAGTGCTCCACCAGGCCTACAATGTTCTTCTCTTCTACACTTGGCATGTGAAGCTGACTTTAGGGCCATCTCTCATCACAGTTCAGCATTGCAGTGCTTTGTTTCCCTTGGTATCTCCCTTCCATTTCTGAGGTGCCTTTGTGGAATTGTTCCTTGTGCTCATCACTCACTGCACCAGTTTTCTGGAAAAAGAGTGAAAAAAGGGAATTTTCAAAGGCATGCCTGTGATAGGATGAAGCTTCTCAACAATGTCTTTGTAGTTTTCAGCCATGTTGTTTCCCAGGAAATTTGCACAAAGTTGTTGAGAGTCCTCACCATGGAGAATATCATCAAAGTGATCATTGTAAAGTTCTTGTGTGTGTGGTCCAACGAAAATCCCCTCCTTTCTTTTTGCTTCAATCAGCCTTTTCCCTCAGGTTGCAAAAGCCCTGTCCTTCTTGATTCAAACCCTTTACAAAATTCTTCATCAACTCTAATTTTATATGCAAAGGTAGAAGCAGAATATATTTAGGATCTATAAGTGAATCATGCTGTACACTTTCGACACCTTGTTCTAGAGATATTTTTGGGTCATCCCCCCTAGAGCAGCAGTTGTATCAGTCAAACTAATATCCCTCATGTCACCAAAAACTCCATGTTTCTCAAAAACTAGGGCTAAAAATCAATTTTGCTTGGTATAGTCACCACTTCTCAATGGGTCAAAATTAGGGGAAATAGCTATTTTGGTACAGGAAACATTTTCTCTGCTGATACGTACAATGCATTCTCATTTTTAAGAACCTCAACAAATTATTCAACTTTCTCCATCTTCTAAAATGAATCTTTAAGCTGTGTAAATTGCCATTGAACCTTGGAGTATGCTTAATAATGCGTATTTTCTTAGATTTAAACAGGCCAATAGACCTTTTCACAACTTCCGCATTTTTGACCGGAAATACGTAATCGTAGGGTATCTTTACTTCCGCTGGTTTAAAAAAAATGCCACAAGCAGCGACCTCTTCTTCTTGCAGTGTACCGGGTTGTTCTTGTAATGCCCAAAAGCAGCCATATCTATCTTTTCATTCCTTCCCTGTTAATGGTGAAGGTCGACGTAAATGGATTCAGGATATCCGGCGGGATGAAGGTCCAAACTTCACAGTTAAAAAGGGGAGCACTTACGTCTGCAGCAGACACTTCACCTCAGACGACTTTGTTTTAGGGACCACTGTTCGCCGCTTGAAACCAGAGGCTGTCCCTAGCCTTTTTCCTTGGAACGATTTCAAGTCTAAAGAAAAAAGGGACCCTGTGTATGAGCGGTGCCAAAAACGGCAGCAGTCGAGAAGGAATTAGCAATGAAAGCTTTGAAACTAGACCACGATTATGCGAGTCCTCCGCCCGCAGGTAAGAAATTCCACCTTCTTTAATGTTATGTCTTCATGGTAGAGTGGAGCATTGCCTTCTTCAATCACTGTAACAGCTTGTCAATATTTTACCACCGATAACCTTTTGAACTCAATGAACGCATTTTGCGTAACCTTTAGTCTCAGACTCATAACTCGTGACAGGATTAATACACAAGCATCATACACATATCACTGAAATCTAGAAGACTTACCCTATACGATCGTCTACTAAGTCCCGTGTTTGTGCAATAAATTATTCCAGAGTAATCGTGTGTGCAAAAGAGAGTAAATTTAAAAGGGTTTCCCACAAAAACACACTACTGAAACTCCATAAAAAAAATTTTTCCCACTGTCTTTCTATATACTAAATATATATTTATTTTCATTCTGTTGTTTTTTTTTTTATAGTGGTTTGTAATTGTTGAGGGAAAGTGTTTAAGTGGCTAGCTTATGGAGTTAAAAAGTTATAGCCCAATAAATAAAGGGAAGCAAAAATGCTCATAAATGGCCCAAAGTTCAAAAGGTTAAAGGGTTTAAAAGAATTTCTTACCTCATATCGCTGTGCCTAATTCTCTGGCTATGTTTTTGTGTTGTGGCCTATTTTGTAAAACTTAATGCTAGCCTACCCATCCTGCTTGTTAACGGTACATGACATGTAATGTTGACAGGTTGAAAGCTACGAAGCTATGCAATGCAAATGATCGGTGTCATTCATAACAAATGGATGAAATAATGATTCATTATGGCTACATAATGTGAAACTTATGTAAATAGGCCTAATTTTTCATTTCCATAAACTTTTGAAGTTGATAAAAGAAATACTTCTATTCACATGGCTTTATAATTTCACTAAATTGAATGGAGGACTGAATTTTGTCTTCTCAATCACCACAGGTTTGCTAGATGATACCATGGATTACATCCAAGACTTGGAAACCAAGCTGAAGAAAGCCTTGCCACCCCCCGTCCTCTTCAGTCGGTACTGTGCGTCAGATGACCAGATGAGATTTTACACTAAATTTCCATCTGAGCATGTGTTTAACATCTTCTGGGAGTCCATTGCACCATCTGCCTCTCGACTGGTCTACTGGAGTAAAGCAAAGAGGACAAGTGAAGGCACCATTGAAAACATCAGTCCCAGTCACCCACTCAGCATGCCATTAATCGATGAATTTCTTATTTACAGTATTCGTGTAGCTGTCAGCATGAAGGAGCAGGTCATTGCTGACATGTTCCAGTTAAGTGTTCCCACTGTGAGCCGTGTGACCATCACCTGGGCCAATTACCTCTTCTTAATTCTGGGGACGCTTCCTCTTTGGGTGAGTAAGGAGAAGGTGAAGTCCATCATGCCAGAAAAATTCAAGAGGTACTGTCCCAATCTCTGCGTGATACTGGACTGCACTGAGATTGCTGTGGCAGCAGCCTCTTCACTGACCCTGCAATCAGAAACATTCTCCCACTACAAGAACAGGACAACCTTTAAGGGATTGATCGGAGTTGCTCCTAATGGTTTAGTGACATTATTCTCGCCGCTGTACACTGGAAGCATCTCTGACAAGGAGATAACAAAGATCAGTGGAATCCTTCCCTTACTTGAGTCAGGTGATGAAGTGATGGCTGACAAAGGATTCATCATTGAAGATCTTCTTTCTGGTGTTGGGGCAAACTCATCATCCCACCCTTCAAGCGTTCAGCCCAATTTACAAGAGAGGATACTGAGAAGACACAGGCCATAGCACATCTCAGGATGGTGCTCGAAAGGGTAATAGGTAGAATTAAGTCCAATCACATCTGGGATTCACCTGTGCCTCTCACTCTGATGGGCACTGTCAGCCAAATCTGGCACAACTGTTGTGTCATGGTGAATTTTCAAAGACCTTGTGAAGAAGACAGATCTAAAACAAAGTAGTCTGAGTTGAAGTGTCTGCTGCATTTGTAAGTGCTCCCCTTTTTAATTGTGAAGTTTGGTCCTTCATAGATAGCCTGAATCCATTTCCGTCAAACTTCACTATTAACAGGGAAGGAATGAAAAGATAGATATGGCTGTAGCTCTTTTCTTTTCCCCATTTCCCCTTTCCCACTTATGTAAATAGTTACTTTAATAAATAATATTTTGTTAATCCTTTAACTCATGTGGTCTCCCCTTAATGTCACACACACACGCTTTGAATTTTCAGGCCCAAAACAGTATCATTTTTTTGTACTAGGAGCAACTGATTAATTTATAGACATTAAAAGACATTAGTTTAATAAACTGATTTACTTTACATTTTACAATATCAGTAAGTCAAGTAGGAGCATAAGTGAGGCAGTGTGATAAATACTTAACTGCTTAATAAATTAACTATACAGGTTAATACATGAACATGTGAAATGTTGAATGATTAATAAACTGATTAATAAAAAACTGATTAATAAAAACATTCCCATTACAGCAAATAATTTAATTCAGTGTGCTTCCAAGTACACATCCATGTATATGTTGTAATAGAAAGGGTCTAATTTGTCCTTCGTTTTGAGTATGAATGAATCATCTCGCCAAACTCTTTCAACATATAAATTTGCCGGTTACTGCTAATTGTCTCTGAACCTGCCAGTAGTACCGGTGTGACTGCATCAGGCTGATGTAGCCATTTTCATTCTTAAGGTGCGCAACCTGCGAAGCATCATGTTTTGTGGTGCACTTCACTTCTACAAGTCCAAACGGCGGTGACTCTGAGGGGTCATAGACCCTACCATCTGGACTAGCCCCAAGATGGGGTGCTTCTGGTGAAATGACAAATCCAACAGACAGCACATTAACTCACTTTAACTGAGCATAATTGGTCAGGACTTCTGACTCCATCTGCAGACCTCGTAGCATTGCAGCAGTCTGCTTTCTCGAGCCTCTTATCATTTGGCCAGCAAGGGCCTTTGCTGCAGCCTCTGGATCTGCCTTTCCCTCCCAGGAAGAGCAGGCCTCTCGAAAGCAACTGGCAGTTAAACGTGGTTGCCGTAACTGCGCCAACGCAAGACATCTGAACTGCTGCCTGGTTCCCTTCTCAATTTCACTGGCCATTTGTGGTGACACTTGCAATGACTGCAGGTGCAGCTGCTGGTGCACTGTTGGAATAAAGTCCAGGTTAGAGAAGGTACAGTATGCTGATCAAGAGGAAGATGGGCCGAATGGCCTCCTCTCGTTTGTATAGTGCTTATGTACTTAAGACCTGGGAATTCAGGGGCCAAGTGGTGCAGGATAAGGTCACTGGATGTTTCAGATGGACAATGGTATGATAGGGGGGATCCACGTGGAACAGGGCCAAATTTAGATGGAGTCAGCTCTAGTTCAGACAACCCATCTAACACAAGTGCAATGAGAGGCTGAAGTTGAACTTCGTGCAGCTTGGCTCCAGCAGCCATCAAATCAGGGTCAGGAAATGGTCCTAAAGAAAGAAAGGATTCAGTTAAGTTAACCATTTAATTCATCATTTTGATTTCACAGTAAAAGTAATATGGACATAAGTTGTCATCTGACCTGAGTATGCCTGGTACAATGTGGACCTAAGACCACTCTTGCCTGCTGCTGTTGCCTTATTCACCACCACATCACTCACAGGTTCTGGATGGATTCCCTAAAATTCAAAGTAAAATATAATCGCTCTGTGTGTGAGTGTGTGTGTGTAGCTTGGCTCCACCGGCCTACGTACTTTCACTTAATTATAATTTTTTCTTCAGTACTTGCACAAATCAAATGAAGTGAAGGGTTCTCATTAGGACCAGCCAGGTGTGTGTGTGTGTGTGTGTATTTGAATTATCCATCCTTATGTCATATGAAAAAGAGTAGGCTAAATAAACAACCTTATCTTACACCCACCTGTGTTCTTGGTCTATGTCATCGCTGTAAATCAAACAGGCAAGAGGTGGAGGGACAGTTGGAAAAAATGTGCTGTCTGGTATAGTAGGGCCACAATGTGGTTGCAGAAACCTTTGCCAGCTACGCAGCTGCAAGGAAAGGCCATCAGACGTCCATTGTGATAGTGATATCTATACACCAAAAGAAAAAGCAGGGAAATACTAATAAGCATGGTGTACATGACATCACTGTTCATAACAGTACATCACTGTCAATGGTAAACGGAAGTAACAGTTTAAGGAAAGGGTTGAAACAGCAGCAGAGATTTATAGCTTATGGAATGGTGGAAAAGAAAGAGCTGTGTCAAAGCTCCTGCACATCATTAAGCTAGATTTCCAGACTTATGTGTGAAAACACCTATTGTTACTCTTTAATCAAAACAATATAAAACACAGCACTCCTGTGGCCAGCAAGGCTACACAAACAAAAGAGTGTGTGTGAGAACCTTTCTATCTACTCTGTAGCTGTGCAGAAACTCGGCAGCAAGTGAACAGTACTGCAACGGCAGTAAGAAGCACAGGGAACTTGTGCACTCAGTGGTCAAACCTCTAGCTTGTGAGGCTCCTCGTTTTTCCTCTGAGATGTGTAGCATCTAGCCCTCACAAAAACCTGCCCATCTACTACATTTGATACTGTGACGTGCAAACATGCAAATAAACAGACATTGTCAGAAAAAAATGTTAAATGATCACAACCACGAGTGTTATATTGCTTTAGTAAGGTAGTCTATTTCCTCTATACTATACATACTGTACATAACCCTATAAACCTAACCCTAGGTCTAAGTGGACACGCTAATGATTTGTCATTCTAGCTAACAGTTCAGTAACAGTTAGCAGTTGCCCTCTACTTACCTTGATACTTATGGACAAGTTTGTTCTTTCTCGTGACGGAGTTTTCCTCCACAAGTTTAGCAACATCCGCAAATGTAAATTTGGGCAAATTAATCAGAGAGGTTGTGTACATTCTCTGCTCCATTTTCTCAGATCCCGGGTTTTCTAATGCATTGACGCTTGACCGGAAATAAGTTTACTCTACGATTACATATTTCCGGTTTTCATGAAAAAGGTCTATTACAGGTACACGGACAATTGATAGTGATGTATCTGCCATTACTTGGTATAACTTAGTAAAAAGTTAACATGGGAAGTAGTCAGTCTCTCCATGTGCAGCTGGATCCTATAATTACTGACGATCTGGCCTTTATCTATCTGAGGATTCCACCGAGCACAAGGCTGTACTGCCTTTTCATTTATGACTGTGCAAAATTCAAAAGCTACTGCATCATCAGGTTAGGTGATGAAACCACAGTAACTGGTCTCATCTGTGATGATCAGGACTGGGCCCCACTAAAAAGTCACTTCATGGCCCCATGCTCTGCTGCAGATGCTTCAAAATATAAATAAACCACTAGTAAGTATAGTCAGAACATTATAGCTAGCTAGCACTAAACCTGCGCGAATTTGCGTAAAATCCCTAGAACTAACACCTCTGCGGACCCCTTCAGCTCCATTGTCCTCTTGCTTTTGTTATGCAAACACACCATTTACCTGTGAAGCCTGATAAGACACCTCCACTTCTGTTCCACCTCAGACACTTCACACCTCCTCTGTTTCCACACTCTCTGCTCACTGCTCCTCTCCCCCCAACCATGGCATCCAGCACACATCCAGCACCTTTAGCAGTTGATGGAGATTTGTGGGATGCACATCCAGGGCACGAAGCTCCCGTTCCACCACATCCCAAAGATGCTCTATTGGGTTG